GAACCAGGACACTCTTTGATGAACCAATTGGCTAGTTCAACTAGGCCCCCAAGCCCTGTGTTAGTCTCCACGGGTTGGGTAGCTTTGATTTCATGCGTCAAGGCTTGTGGTTCTTTGTCTGGGGACTTAGCAACAACTGGATCCTACTGTTGGATGTATTGTCTCCCAAAGCACCTAAGGGTTTTTCTCCGCTTCGAGTATATATCCATATTGATCCGCTTTTTTGAGGATCCACTACTGAACTGAACTGAGTATATGTGTCTTGCCTATATTGTCAGATGCTCCCAAACAAATCCATGGTTGGCTCAACCCAATTTGAAGTGGGATTGACCTGAACCGTCACAGACGGTGGTGGCGCTGGTGGTAAGATATTGATCGTGATATCCTGAAATGTTGTCTGTCGTGTCTATTGTGTCTAGAATTGGTGTCTCGGTCCTGTCATTCACTGTCGTCACAGAAAATGGTCTTATTGTGAATGTGTAAAATATATTGTGATGAAACCACTGTGAATCCCTCGTATCCTCAGTCCATAGGATCCACCGAGTCACAAGCATCTCACCCTTATTAGGTGGAAGATGATGCACCTTCTGTTTCTTAGTTGTATCCTCGTCACTAACCTCCATAGTGCCCTGCTCAGTAAAAAACAACTTGACTCGTTGGTTAGTTGGAGGCGATGTGCTCAAATTTGTGGCATTTGAAGCATTGTCTAGCTGAGATTGTAGTAAACATGCTACTTTTCTTAGGATTTTTTTCACTAGCGGTGGCTTTATCCTTATCCAAACTAGTTTTCTCAACTCACTAAGGTGTGCTCTTGCTGGTGTCTCTAACTGTGGATAATGGTCTGATTGGTGGCGGTTAGCTGCATTTTTTTTGCTGCCTTTCCACTTTCAATGCTAAAGTTTGTATATCTTAAAGCGACCAATAAGGTTCCAACTGTACCGCATTGCTAATAGCAGGTTATGGGTCCCCCAGATAATGAGCTATGTGTTCCTCTGACTTGACCCAAGCCCCGTGTCAGTCTCCATGGGTTGGGTAGCTTCGATTTCATGCGTCAAGGCTTGTGGTTCTTCGTCTGGGGACTTAGCAACAACTAGATCCTACTGTTGGATGTATTGTCTCCCAAAGCACCTGAGGGTTTTTCTCCGCTTCGAGTATATATCCATATTGATCCGCTTTTTTGAGGATCCACTACTGAACTGAACTGAGTCTACGTGTCTTTCCTATATTGTCGGATGCTCCCAAACAAATCCATGGCTGGCTCAACCCAATTTGAAGTGGGATTGACCTGAACCGTCACAGACGGTGGTGGCGCTGGTGGTAAGATATTGATCGTGATATCCTGAAATGTTGTCTGTCGTGTCTATTGTGTCTAGAATTGGTGTCTCGGTCCTGTCATTCACTGTCGTCACAGAAAATGGTCTTATTGTGAATGTGTAAAATATATTGTGATGAAACCACTGTGAATCCCTCGTATCCTCAGTCCATAGGATCCACCGAGTCACAAGCATCTCACCCTTATTAGGTGGAAGATGATGCACCTTCTGTTTCTTAGTTGTATCCTCGTCACTAACCTCCATAGTGCCCTGCTCAGTAAAAAACAACTTGACTCGTTGGTTAGTTGGAGGCGATGTGCTCAAATTTGTGGCATTTGAAGCATTGTCTAGCTGAGATTGTAGTAAACATGCTACTTTTCTTAGGATTTTTTTCACTAGCGGTGGCTTTATCCTTATCCAAACTAGTTTTCTCAACTCACTAAGGTGTGCTCTTGCTGGTGTCTCTAACTGTGGATAATGGTCTGATTGGTGGCGGTTAGCTGCATTTTTTTTGCTGCCTTTCCACTTTCAATGCTAAAGTTTGTATATCTTAAAGCGACCAATAAGGTTCCAACTGTACCGCATTGCTAATAGCAGGTTATGGGTCCCCCAGATAATGAGCTATGTGTTCCTCTGACTTGACCAAACCGAACTTCATTTGTAATTGGTGAAACTTTGTCGCGAACTACTCCACTGGCAGGTCTCTCTGCTGCAGGTGGAGAACTTAGAAACATGTCCTAGCAGTAGTGGGGTGAGAAGTATTTTCTCTGCATTGCTTTTTTCATGTTTTCCCTCCTAGAAATCTTATCACTGCATTATCTTTTCCTCTGACCACGTAAGTTGTCCCACCACAAGGAGACACTTTTTTTCAGTTTGATAGCTCCAAGCTTCGCTCTCTTATCTTTTGGCTCCTGTCTATACTTAAATATCCTCTCAGTTGATTGTAACCCTTCAATGAAGTCGTCGTGATCCATACCTCTGTCGAACTCTGGTAGATCCACCTTTATTCTAAAGTCTGTATCCTCCATATATTGGCTCTTCTCCCGGCCTCCTCTAATACTAGATTCCAAAGCGTTGTAGTTGATCTTTTGTTACATTGAAGTTCTTCCGATGGAAGGGATTTAGATTCTCGTCTCTTGCTCCCATTCGACTCTTCCCATCTCGGCCGAGGGTAACCTCCCCCTGCGTTTCATCCT